ATATTACAACTGATACATCTGAAATAAAAGGAATCATTCGAGACTACTATAAACAACTACACACCAACAAATTTGAAAATCTGGAGGAAATGGATAAATTTCTGGACACACACAAGCTCCAAAAACTGAACCATGAAGACGTAGAAAATCTGAACTGACCAATAACAATCAAGGAGATTGAAGCTATTATCAGAAGGCTCCCAACAAAGAAAAGCCCAGGACCAGATGGATTCACAGCATAATTTTATCAAACATTCAAAGAGGAATTGACACCAATTCTTTCCAACTATTCCAAAAGCTTGAAACAGATGCAAATCTCCCAAACTCATTCTATGAAGCAAACATCACCCTGATACCAAAACCATGTAAAGATACAACTAAAAAAGAAAACTACAGGCTGATATCCTTGATGAATATAGATGCAAAAATCCTCAATAAATACTCGCTAATAGAATACAGCAACACATACGTAAAAATATTCACCACAGTCAAGTGGGATTCATCCCAGGGATGCAAGGTTGGTTCAACATATGCAAATCAATAAATGTGATACACTATGTTAATAAAATCAAACACAAGGACTATATGATCATCTCGATAGATGCTGAAAAAGCATTTGATAAAATTCAACATTCATTCATGACAAAGATCCGCTATACTCTATAAGTTAGGTATAGATGGAAAGTATCTCAACATAATTAAAGCCATATATGATAAACCCAATGCCAATATCATCCTGAATGGGGAAAAGCTGAAAGCTTTTCCTTTAAGAACTGGTTCATAAAACTTTTGAGACAACTGACAAAATTTAATTATATATTGGGTATTGGATGATATTAAGGAATAATTGTTAATATTATCTGTGTAGTATGAACATATAACAACTTTTCTGTATTTTGAAGAGATGTATAACAAAGTACAGAGAAATAACACAATGTCTTGGATTTGTTTAAAATACTTCAGCAAAAGCATGAAAATTAGAGAATGGATACATGATGTAAATGTGGTAAAATCTAAATTCTTGCAGATGAGTGGTGGGCTGTGTCAGTTTGTTTTCCTATGAAAAACTAACACTAAAGTGGAGGATAGAGGCTTCCTGGGAGTAATTCCTGTGAAATATAGAGGAAAGAAGCAAGATTATTCAAGGAAAGGCTTCAGGCCATGATATGCACCTGAAACCATTGAAAGAATGGGCAGGAGGAAGCAGAATTGAGCAGGAGAGCCTCAGACTATGATGTTAGGGCTCAAGGTGCTGGCCAACTCAGTCGGTGAGTGCCTGTCTGTAGAGGTTTCCCATACTGGGCAGAAATGCTCAGTCACTGACTGAGGACTGACCCAGAAGAGAGGAATCTCAGCATGAATGTGGTAAATCTCCAAAGTGTTGCCTCTGGAGGCTCTCAGCCAACTGCACGCCTCAATGCTGAAGAGCAAGTTCCTCTTGACATGAGATCAAAGCAGCTCACCTCCACTATATCACCAATATATGAGGTTCATTGTGCTATTTCAATGTTTTTGTATTTTGAAACTTTTCATTAAAAAATTTTTAGGTTCCCCTCCGCGCCTCGGTTCACCCAGAAGCTGAGGAGCCAGGAAGTAGCGGAAGGAAGTCGAGTTCATCTGGAGTGCAGAGTCACCGGAAGCCCAACTCCTCGAGTCAGAACAAAGGCAATCATACCAAGTTGAACATAAAATGAAGCTTGATATCATATTGAATTTCAAACTGCACTGGGAATACTTTGGGAAAAATTCCGGACTTTTGTAGAAAAATCTTCCCAACTTTAAAAGCTCTTCTTTGTCTTTGCAATAATCTCCCAAGTTTTGGATGCTACGACTTCATACTCACATTTTTCAGAATTTAACCCTCTCACCCTCCCTCAAAAAGCTTATTAAATGGACTGTGAAAAACAGACACATCACAGGTTTAGATATATTTATAACATGTGATAAAGCTAACTTATAAAATTATAATTTATACTTTTTAAACATT